TATGATGCAGTATTTTTTGTCATAAAAAATAATAAGGAGATGATTATTTTGTCATTTCATATTTTAGAATGTGAAATAATATCTTAAAATATATGGCAAAACAATAATGCGTTCTACCTGACCTAACCCTATGCTACCACCAGAGGGAGGAGTACAACTTTATATTTTCTATTATTGTTGGCACGCATGGTTTAGACAAATGCTTACAATGATGCTATAACCGTTTGTGTATTAACAGCTTACCATTATGGACAGAATTAGGTAGATAAATGTTGGCTCTAAACTGGTCCATCTCACATTTATTTGAGATTTAAATGTGAAAATGTGAGACGGGCTTCTACTATGACAATGTTCAAATCCAGGTCTAAACTGTTCTGTTTAGCTGTGCGTACAACTGAAGGATTGTATAGTAGCTTCACTCTTTTTAATGTACTGTAATTATTTAGGATTGGAATGCCCCGTTGTATCTTAAATGTGTGAAATGAGCTGTGAATCACCTCGTGTTACTTTGTGTGTGAAAAGCAGCGTTATCCTTGTAAAAAATATGTTTGAACATGTGTGTATTGCCATAGTCCATTATAATGTGAGTCCCTCTGGTCCTGAGTGCACTGCGCTGACTACAGAAGACTTATTTTGAAAGTCAAAAGTTTGTTTCAACACTGTCTTTCCCCGTGGTGTAAAGTCGACACAGGTTCAAACAACAGGCCTCCATTTGTCACTGTTGTCCTGGGTCAGCAGTGTGTAAAACAATGTCAACTTCTCATGAGCAGAAAAGGTGGCTTTCATTACAAATATTTGAGCTTTTGAGCATGTTCCTCTTCTGTCCATCATCAAAAACTGACCTGGAGATGTTAACTTTCCACGTTAATATCAGGAACTTCTGGTACGAACATGTTACACCCATTATGTCTGTCCTGCAATAGTGTGATGTCATTTCACCGCCATGACATCATACTCAAACAAAGGTAGAGAGTCGAGAGAGAGACACCGGTGAGAGAAACCAGAGAGAGATCAGCGAGAGACCATAGTGTCAAATTCAAGGCCCAGGGGCCAGATCCAGCCTGCAAATGAATTAACTTGGCCCGCAGGGTAATTTTTGATTGGTATGAAAGTATGTATGATATTCTTTTAAACATTTTAAACAGAGACCAGGGAGAGAGACCAGAAAGGCCTAACCCTAGCCCAGTATTACATCACTCAGCGGTTTTCTGCCTTTAAATCAACAGCAGTGCCCATGAATTTGTTTTTCTGTTGAAATTACGCTCCATACATTTAACATGGCTGTGTATGTAGAGGGAAGTTTTCAAATTTGATGAAATTAACAATTCAACTCTTCCCCTAGTGGCAGCAAGGAGAGTTACAGGCGGTAAAAAGTGAAGATTAAGAAATTAAAAAGTACACAGCCTCCTTATAATTTGAAAAGTCCAAAAATGATCCATAATGTTTCCAAAGTTAATGATTAGATTTTGGTCTAACTTTACGTGGGTAACATTAGTTCTGCACAGCTGTAGAATTACTGCACACATCTAAAACTCCAACCTAAAAGTTTATTCACAGTTAGGAGCATTTTTAATACCATCCATAAACCTCTCCTTCTGGGATCGCCTTTTACAAATGTGATCCATTCTCCAGTGTCGGGCCTCAGCGGCAACTTGAAAGCGAAACGCAGGTGAAAAACCCATCGAAGCCGGTCACACATCAGCCTCTTGTGGCTCGGAGGGGATTGACAGTTACAGCTCAATCATTTCCTTATAGGTCCAGCTGGCTTTGACATTATCATTGACAGAGGCTCCGGCCTTGGCCTGTCCCAGTACATACAGACCTCTCTTTTAGCCTGTTGATTTAATGTCCCACGTGGCCTGCCGTTGATCCATTTCCCCTCTCAGTTTGCTCACAGGGCACCCCCAAAACCGTCCCCCTGTAATATATTTGTTTTATGATTTCCTGAGCAGCCCTGAAGAAAAAACAAACTGGGGTTTCACTGCACCTGCTCAAGCAAAAGCTGCAACGCACAATTAAGTCCCTCCTTCTAATGCACTGTGGGCCGTCTGTCTCTGCAGTCACCATTTAAACCATATAGATAATTATATACATATTCTTCATGACTCTGTTGTCATTGTACAGCAGCGGTACCTTTTTGAGACTAAAATGGCAGAGATACTCCTTTAAAACTTCTGGGGGAAAATGACCTCTTTAGTGGTTCTTTGCCGATGCAGGAGGGTCTAAGGCCAGTGATGATCCAGGACATTTATGCACATTTCTGGACAGTGGTCATCACAATTCCTGGACCAATGGCACGAACTTTGTAAAGTCCCCCGAGACCACTGCTGTTGTGACTTAGGGCCACACAATAATACATTGAATGGAATTGAATTATGAGATACAGTTGTTAGTTATTAAAAGCACAAAGGTCGCTTTGATCAGAATCCAAAATACTGAATATTCATCTTATATTATAGTCAATTTCTTTTCTTTCAGTTTCACACACTTGAATAATAAAAAGGCACATTGTATGTTTCTAATTTCATTTTTTGTTAGTTTTGGAGCCAGATCAAAGACAGAAAAAAAAAATAATAGTGCTGTATTTATAGTTTGGAAACAGTTTAATTTTGGTAACCGACATTGTGTTTAAATCTCATACATTTGCATGTTTTCGATTGCAAATTTGCATGTTAAACATAGGCTGCATACAGATGGACAATGCTAACCCGCTTGCTCAAGGAAGCCCAATAGAAAAGTGCTCATGGACAAAGTTTTGCTCCCACTCTAACTGGCTCCTATTGACTTACATGTAAAAGTAAAATCCAGTGACAATTTGTGTCACACTCATCACACTCTGTGGACCAGTTAATATATCTTTTACATTGTCTTTGTAAATCCAGATGGAAGAAGAATCGACCAATCAGAGGCTTTCACTCATGAGGGAAACGCCAGCTGGCCTTATTTGCATTTGCTCCCGGTCAGAAAAATTGCAAATAACGAAATTGCCTCCAGCCTAGGTTCAAATGTGTCTCTTCCACTCCTAATCTACAGTTTATGGTTTAAACCCTAAATATTGCTCTCTTTATTTTTGTCTCTAAATGTGGCACTAATAAAAGTGTCATAATGTTTAATTGATCGAGTGTGTGCAATGAGCAGGTTGCTTCTATCACATTGATCTAATATTATTAATTTCCGTTTCTATGTTCAGAATCAGAATCAGAATCAGAATCATTTTTATTGCCAACGTAAGTAACGGGAGGTCACAGACTTGGAAATTGCTTTGGCTCAGTGCAACAGTCAAAAAGAGATAATAAAAATAAGAATAAAAAACACTTCTAAAGAATAAATTTAAATTTAAAATAGAGTTACAGTTACTATTTACAATATACAAGTGCACATGGTGCACACAATGTAAGGTGACAGCAGTACAGTGAAGTAAAGTGACGTATGATGGGCAGTAAAGTGACTTTATAAAGGGCGGGGGGACAGGTTAAGAAGTGTTCAAGAGTCCAACAGCAGAGGGGAAGAAACTGTTCTTGTGGCGGGAGGTTCTAGTCCTGATGGACCGCAGCCTCCTGCCTGAGGGGAGTGGTTGGAATAGTCCATGTGCAGGGTGAGAGGGGTCGGCTGTGATACGACCAGCCCGGCCTCGAGCTCGGGCGACGTACAGGTCCTGCAGCGATGGAAGGCTGCGGCCGATCACTTCCTCTGCAGAGCGCACAATGCGCTGTAGTCTCTGTTTGTCCCTGACTGTGGCTCCAGCGAACCACACGGTGATGGAGGAGGTGAGGATGGACTCGATGATGGCCGTGTAGAACTGCACCAACATCTGTGCAGGCAGCTTGGCTTTCCTGAGCTGCCGCAGGAAGTACATCCTCTGCTGGGCCTTCTTGATGAGGGAGCTGATGGTCGGCTCCCACTTGAGGTCCTGGGTGATGGTGGTGCCCAGGAAACGGAAGGACTCCACAGAGGTGATGGGGGAGTCCATCACGGAGGGTGGGGGCGGGGGGACAGTGCTCTTCCTGAAGTCCACAATCATCTCCACTGTCTTCTGGGCGTTCAGCTCCAGGTTGTTACCACTGCACCAGGACACCAGCCGGTCCACCTCCCTCCTGTAGGCGGACTCATCGTTGTTGGAGATGAGTCCAATGAGGGTGGTGTCGTCCGCGAACTTGATCAGCTTCACGGAGTCGTGGCTGGAGGTGCAGTGGTTGGTGTACAGGGAGAAGAGCAGGGGAGAAAGAACACAGCCCTGTGGGGCTCCTGTATTTATAATCCGAGAGTCCGAGACATTCTTCCCCAGACGCACTCGCTGCTTCCTGTCCGTCAGGAAGTCAGTGATCCACCTGCAGGTGGAATCGGGCACGTTGAGCTGGGAGAGCTTGTCCTGGAGCAGGGATGGCAGGATTGTGTTGAAGGCAGAGCTGAAGTCCACGAACAGGACCCTGGCGTAGGTCCCCGGGGAGTCCAGGTGCTGTAGGATGTGGTGGAGGGCCAGGTTAATGGCGTCGTCTACAGATCTGTTGGCTCTGTAGGCGAACTGCAGGGGGTCCAGGAGGGGGGAGGTGAGGGACTTGAGATGGGAGAGAACCAGGCGTTCAAATGACTTCATGACGACAGACGTAAGTGCTACAGGTCTGTAGTCATTGAGTCCTGTGATCCTGGGCTTCTTCGGGACGGGGACAATGATGGAGGATTTGAAGCAGGCCGGGACATGGCAGGACTGCAGAGAGGAGTTGAAAATGTCCGTGAACACAGGAGTAAGCTCACTGGCGCAGTGAGCTTACTCCTGTGTTCACGGACATTTCTGTGTGCAAAACTCTTTTCCATGTGGCTCTTCCGTTTCCTCCACTCATCCGTCGGGGGCGCGGTTAAACCTGGGTGAGGGAGGGGGGTGAGGGAGGGTGTGAGGGAGGAGGTGAGTAGTTTTACCAGCAGCAGCGGATCCCAGGGCCCCTGCCGTCCTGCTGTGTGTCCCCCAGTCTCCTGTGTGAGGTGCTCTGACATTAATAAGCAGAATGATGGGCCACTCGGACATGCTTCAGTGTGTCCGAGCGCAGATGTGGGTCCTCTGCTCAAACATCTGTCTGTGTGGAGTGACGTGGACGACTCGGTATTTATGATGAAAGAGACAGGTTTATAGCACATCATTTGGACACAGGGCCTGTATGCGGATACTCCTGTGTTTTGGGAATTGCTGCATTGATGATGATGAGACTGGAGATATGTAACAATTTTTATAACTACCAAATAAGCCATCAGCTCTACTCTACTATCTATATACTGTATAACCGGTGCATTAGGCAAGGCAAGTTTATTTGTATAGCACAATTCATACACAAGGCAACTCAAAGTGCTGAACAAGATAGCATTAAAATCATAAATAATCACAGAACATTAAAACGAAAGATAAAAATATAAAATCCCTCAGTTGTATGCACAGCTAAACAGCACCGTTTTTAACTTGGTTTTAAACATTGTCAGAGAGGAGGCCTGTCTCACATCTTCAGGAAGATTGTTCCAGATTTTAGCAGCATGAATCTGAAAAGCAGCCTCCCCATGTTTAGTTCTGACTCTGGGCACTAACATTATTATTATTGTTGCATTATTACTCTACACTACTCTACTTTACTGGTTGCATTTCCGTTATGCTTTAGGATCTGGAACCTTAACCCACAATTTAATGAACATGATAAAATAAAAGTACAAAACTCAAAATCCATACAGAACAACAACAACAACTTATTCTTGTATAGCCCTAAATCACAACAGAAGTCATCTCAGAGGACTTAACAAAACCATTGAAATCACCAACACAGATCAGAGAATCAACAGTTAAGACACAAAATATACACATATGAATATGGTCCATAGGGAGAGACCAATGTCCATGAATGTTGATAAATGTCCACACATGTTGTAGAATGTTAAAGTGTCCTGGGTCATCACCGCAGTCCTAGTTGGACACTAACTGCCCAACAGACCCTCCTGCATCGGCAAGGAAAAACTCACAAAAACCCAGTGGGAAAAAAGTGAAAAGGATTGAGAAAGGGATCCGCTCCTACACGGACGGACGGGCTAATGATCCAGAACCTAAGCTACAGAATGACGACCGATGCCACGCAGCGGCCGCAGAGCATGGGGCGAGAACCAGGAACGTAGACAGACAAAGCAAATGGACCAGCAACAAATGGGTATGAGCACAAGGTGGCTTTGAAAACATTGTTCTGGTACCTGCTCGGGCGAAAAATCAAATCTACACTCATTTTGCAAATCATGATATCAAGGTCATGAAAATTTTTCCGTTTGGCATTTGCATCTTGGGGATCAACAACAGATCAGAGAGTAAAGCTGTTTGAACAGAGGAAATACATTAAAGAAATCATTTAGGAGACTTGAAATATGAACTTGTCAGCTCAATATTTTTTCAATAGGGAAGTGCTCGTGGTGAAGTGCGGCTCCCATTTCTGTCTCTGCATCAAGGCTAACACTATGGTGATGTCACACTCCCTCTATATACCTGACACAGCACATTTAAGCCAACTGGAGCCTCTGTGGGTCCACACTGTTTAATTTCCCTCCAGTTCATAGCTGACTCCAGTGGATCCATCTGCTCTATGATCCTGAGTAAATTTGTACAACTTATAAAGCTGGTATTTATTACATCAAGTCAAAAACCAGGTCGGAAATGCTGCATTTGTCCCACACGATTCTTCCATCGCTGACTGTTCTGTGTGTTAGCAGTGAGAGGCTGATGGCTTGATTCAATATTCGGTCTCTAAATCCCCTCTCATAACTCAGACAAATCCTTTTTATTGCGGTTGTTGCGATGTTCATGTAATTGCTGTGAGAACTGTCTGAACACGTTCCCACCGACCTGCAACTGGTCTGTCGCTTCCTCAAAGTGACCAGGTGCAAAAGTGAATGTGGGAAGAAGAGGCAGGAAGTGAGTTATACATGCAGCACATGGTCTCAACATCTGAACCTGATGTAATGAAAACCAGAATGGAGAGTGCTTTAAAAGAAATATACTCAATTCACTACAATGTGTTTGTGTACTGCCCTAAATCACAACAGCAATCGTCTTGGAGGACTTTACAGATCAGAGAATCAAACGGCTTGGACACGTAATAGTAACAAACACATAGAATACATTGGTCCATAGGGAACGGGATTACAGCTTTCCAGATAAGTTAATAAATGTCCATAAATGTCTTGGATCATCACTGTCCATAGACCCTGCTGCATTCAGACTGATAGACTGTAGATCCAGAACAGAGGCTGTAGATTCAGGACTCTCTTCAGCGCAGGTCCGTCCATGCAGGAGTGGATTCCTCTCTCAATGTGGGCCTCCTCAAAGATGTTTTAGTTTTTGGCTGCATATGTACAATATATTACATATTATTCACTTCAGTCTAAATATGTTTGACCAATCCAAACGTATGGGTGCACTGTGTGATATCTACTTTATTCTCAATTCACTCCTCTCTCCACAGGGACCTGGTGCTTTGTGTGTATCTGTGGCACTGTGTTAAGAACATGTGTGTTGAGTGCTTCATGTAGAGAGCGCAGTCAGACGCCTGCTTTAACTTAACTCATGCTTGTGTTTGTTCTCACCACAGAAGAACAAACACCATGTGTTTCTCCTGCCGCACAGCGTCCAAACTCAACACGCTACAATCAAAGCGCAAGGATGAGGGCAGCAAAGAGGCTTGTGGCAGTGAGAACCCAGACTGGTTTTAACACCACCAATGGGTTTATATCAATGCAGTTTAATTATCTATCACCTAAATCACAACAGAAGTCGTCTCAGAGGACTTTACATAGTTGTGGATTCCTCAACAACAGATGAGAGAATAAAACAGTTTAAACACAGGAAAGGCAATAATCACAAACACATAGAAGCCATCGGTCCATAGAGAGCGGGATGACCACTGTCCAGTGTCCTGCATCGACACGGAACGACTAAAACGTCTGGAAAAGTAAGAAACAGCTGGGAGATCCAGGACTGAGGCTGTTGGAAACATCTTCAGTGTTCTGCCTAGGGCTGGGCAATATGGCAAAAAAGTAAAATCTCGATTTTATTTCCTGCTTTGGACTATTTCTATTTTAAATCGATTTTTATTCAAGTCACCGAAGACAGACTTTGCCCTTGAAAATATGTTTTGATCTTTCCCCTCAATATTCAAGTTTCAAAACTATTTTTAATTTGTTTCCCCAATACGTATTATAAAATTCTTGTACAGACTGTGCTGATATTGCAAATATGATTCATGTGCTGCTTGAATATCCTTCATTCGATTTCACGATTTTCACATATGAGTGTGTTCACAGTAAAGTGACAATTGAAGTATCTGGACTTTAAAAGGTTATAACTTAAAAACTAAAATTACTTTCATAGATTGGAAAAAAAGATTTCAAACACAGACACATTGAAGAGATAGTGTGGAAAAAATCAAAAGGAAAGATTGACATAAAAATGTTTAGCAACATTTTAAACGATCAAATTAGCCTCTGATTGGACCATTCTACTGTGACGCCATGTACATAGAAAATAAAATGTCCTCAGTCTGAAAAAGCAGAAGATGAAATCCCACAAGATTTACATGGTTACCACAACAGAAGGAAATCACTTGATATAAAAAGGAATCGTTAAAAAATAAAAAATAATTAATTAGTTAAATGACCCCTGAAAAATGTATAACGGACGTGATGAGGACGGTCCTCTTTTCTCTAAAAATTAAACTTGAGAAGAAAAAAAATCTGGTCTGTTTTCACATTTAATTGCTTGACAATATGGAAGTATCACTTTGCATCTACTTTGTGTAAAAAAAGTAGAATCTCTGAATCAAATGTGGACATCTGAAAATACCTATCAAACTTCCACAAAGCTCATTCCGTCAAATCATCACGTCCGTTAGATAAAATATACAGGGCCGCTATAGGAAACTTGTCTAATGTATAAAACAGTTATGTTCTAGCAACTTCTAATGGACAGAGGAGGTGCTTGGAAACATGAAAAACATAAAATATCTTCGGATTATTAAAATCTAATTTTTGGCCTTTTGTCACACTTTTGTGCCCTTTAGTGTGAACAAGCCCATATTCGATTTTTTCAAAAGCCGATTAATTGCCTAAAATCGGTCACACTGTAAAAAAGAAAAAGTTAGTTCAACTCAAAATTTCAAAGCAACCAGCTGCGAAGGATTTTTGAGTTGAAGGCATTAACTTAATTCTTCACGTTTTGAAGAACTACACTTATTAAGATGTGTCAGCTAAGTTTTCCAAGTTCTGCCAACTAAGTTTTTATATTCAAGTTACTGGAAATTTCAAGTTTGTAAAAACTTACTTTTTTAAGTTCAGATTACTGTCCCCTACAATAACTTACTATTTTGAGTTTAAATTAGCCCACACACTAAACCATCATGATGTTTATTTATGTAGCGCATTTTACAGACCAAGGTCACTTGGGCAGGGGAGACTGGAGCACCCGGAGGAAACCTATGCAGACACAGAGAACAAGCAAATTCACTCAGAAAGGCCCTGTTCCGACCAGGGTTCGAACCCAGGACCTTCGTGTCAAGAAGCGAGAATGCTATCCAGTCAGCCACCGTGCCGCACATACTGTGAACTCGATTAGTGGGAAAACTAATGTTTCTAAGACTGACCCAGGGAATATATAGGGCTACTTTGGCTTGGCCCTGTCAATTACGGTTGGTAAAAATAAATACAATGATTTTTTTTGGTCTAATTCGTTTTTTCAAAATGTTGAATGCAGCTGGTTGCCATGACAAATATTTAAATGAGCAAACGCAGATAAGTTGAAATCACTCGAGCTCGGTGAACTGTAAAAACGACAACTCAAAATTGTTCACCTTACTCAGATTTTTGCATTCACTGACAATAAAATTTCCAGTTGGAACTGGAACTGTCTGTTGTGAGCCACTTGAACTCACTTTCAGAAGTTCACTACAACTTCAAAGTAAAATCAACTTAATATATCAAATAAGGTGAACTTTTCATCAGAAACTTCTGAAAGTGAGTTCAAGTGGCTCACAACAGACAGTTGCAGTTCCAACTGGCAATTTTACTGTCAGTGAATGCAAAAATCTGAGTAAGATGAACAATTTTGAGTTGTATTTTTTACAGTGCACTATCCAGTCTACCTCTGGTCTCTCTCTATTCTCTTTCTGGATTCTCTCCCTGCCCAGGGCTGGACTGGCCATCGGGCGTACCGGGCCTATCTGCCTCATACAAAAACAAGTTTAGGCAAAGTGTAAATCCATTGAGAAATGTTCGAGGGGGGCGCGCGTGTCCGCGGGGCACCTGCTGTATGTAGTCGAACAGGATTCCGCCACCTCAGCGGCCGCAGTGTTCCGGGGCATCCAGCGGCTCTGATCTGGACGCGGGAACCGCTCACAACACAACACGGTGAGGGCGCAGCTGCAACGTGGCCGTGTATAAAGACCACAAACGTGCACAGGACCATGCGTGTCTTTGCGTAATCTGTGGACCCAAGAAATACACTGCTGCAGGAAACAGTCCACGTCTCCCCTCTCCTCTCGAAGCGCGACTAAACCCCCTAAATTAAAGCTCAGGTACCTACATTTTCCATTGGATTAAAAGTTCATGTTTGTGCCCAAGAAGAAAAATGTTGTGAACAAATCAATCAGATTTAGTGACAGCCAATGTCTGGCATTCTGCATTTCAAACTTTTTTGTCCAATTCTCATCCCTGAAACAAACAATAGTTTGAGACATGTTTATTACTCTCTTTAATGTAGAGTTGTAGACTATTGCACTTTATTATATTGTTGAAACTACATACATCGATCCTCTACAGTATTTTCTTCCACATACTGTATAAATCAGGGGTAGGCAACCTGCGGCTCCGGAGCCGGATGCGGCTCTTTAGTGCTGCACGAGTGGCTCCAGGAGTCTTTTCAAAAAGGTCTGAAAATGGAATGGGAGGGCTATATTTTTTTCTAGTTTGAATGTGGTTTCTGTAGGAGAAAAAACGTTCTTAAAGTTTTTAAAATCTGTAAAAATGAGCGCAAGTAATATTCAATTTTAACATTTCTGTCAACGTAGAGCGTCATGTGACAGGGCCCTGCACCAGGCGGTCGCTGTGGTAAACAAACCAGCGTGTGTGCATGGATCCCAAAGATAAAAAGAGAAAGAGTCAATATTAGACTGGACTGAGAATAAGAATGAACATTTGCTTTCAGCCAGTGAGGAAGGACTCATGTTTGCGTCGTACTGAGAAGTTTTGTTGCAACATGAGGAACAATGAAGCTCAAAACACCGTTCACGGGGATTACGTGAAGGATTCATTCATAAAAAATTCAGAGCACCTATTTTAAGAATTCAAAAATCTCTGCAAAGACAGTGAAAGAAAGGGCCATTAAGGACATTAATTCAGCTCCAGCCAACTTCAGCCTGTGATCGATATGAGCAGACAGTGATCCAGGTGAACTCTGAGCCAAAAAGCAGATTTATTTACTGTGTTTCTAAAATTGCATAAAGGCAAAAAAAATGAAAGTTAAACTTAAAGCAGAGTCGTCACGTGGTGCGTCATTCTCTCCAGGACACGCTGCAGTGAAAACACACATTTGATAATCATGAATGCTTATTATGTATTTGTAGCCTTTACTTTGTCATTTAGATATTAGGCTAATGTAGCTAACGCAGCTTCAGCCTGTGTTACCTTCACATAAGCTTTATACAAGGCTGTTATTTTTTTCCCCGCTCCAGAGAGATGTTGTTTTAAGTTTTTTTTGTCAAATATGGCTCTTTGAACCTTTTGAGTTGCCGACCCCTGGTATAAAAAAACTGTTTAAAACGTGAAAAAACATGCCTGGGCCGCCGAGAAGGCAAAACTACTGGGGCGTTTTTTTGTCCCAGTCCAGCCCTGTCCCTGCCTTCACTACTTTTGGGATCTATCTGCAAACCACAACACAATATCTACCAAACCATAGAAGAACAGAGTTTTGGCCAGCATATGTCTTGCCATAGTCATTATACACAGTAATAGGTCTTGCTTACAATAACAATAACAGTATTTCCTGTCGTGAGAACTTTAACTACAGTTTAGACAATCTAAACTTCTCCTTATATAATAATATCATGTTATCCTCGGATGAGATTTACTTTTATTGTCCAGTTTTCGAAATATTAGTCCAACTACCAAAAACTACTGTAAATCTATTCCAGTAACGGACTGTATTTCTTCCTGATGTTATATCCATTTTAGCGGCACTGTTGCATGCAGCCGCTGAGTGTGTGAGAGTCCTGCTGCTTTCCTCCTGTTGATTTTTCTGTGGGCTTAAACACGGTGTTAACCACCAGATCCCATTGCTATCAATCTTCTTCCTGCAGGTCACTGTACGACGGCTCACACATGTAGGCACTTTCTGACGGCCCGATCCCACCCACACAATACAGAGCCGAGTATTTGGGCCCCGTTGCCAAAGTAGGGGCAGTGATGGCTACTTCCTCTTGCCTTTCCACATCATTGATACTTATTCGAGTTAAAATAACGTGCTTAATAGAGGCTTGGGGGCCCTCCGGAGACCAATCGTAGCCACGTGACTTCCTCTGCTCTGGCCATGAAAATAACTGCGTCACAATGGGCCGGGGTATTAATATAACACTTGGGAAAGTTAGCTGCAGGATACGGGGAGGGGGCAGAGTGCGCAATCAGGCAAAAATGTGAGGTATTTTAGACAAAGGGGTTTGCGGTGA